AAGAAAGTGCGAGGTTTTAACCACAACATTTTGTTTGAATTATCAAATTTCTTAAGCCACATGGAGATCCCTGTTGTTCCTATTGAAATCATTCAAACTTAGTGTAGGCTACATGTTGCTTGAATTCGAGCAATTGCAAAATATTACAGGAATTTAAAAGCGAATAACAGTAATAATTTACGATGATTTTAAAAGAGTCAACTCAAAGATTATGTAACTAATGGAAGTACTCACAATTTCCATGCCAGTTCAATAATCGACATTTCTTGTAAATATTTTATCATTTTTCAAAAGCTGATCTTGTTTTTTTTAAGTATTCTACAAATGTGTCCCACTCATAGCCGCATAACACACATTATTCGTCCATAACGTAAAATATAATATTCGTCATTAATAATGTATCCTGAATGGTACTTTACCACCATTATCCACCAGTATCACCAGTATGCTTACAAATTTCAGAAATTTTTTTAATAGCAATAAAATTTGTTCACATTATTTAAGTTTGCCTGATATATCCTGCATAACCTGTCTGTCAAAATTTGATTTGCTTCAATTGGCATTATTTTGGTTAGTTGTTGTAATAACATTAATTACATTAACGTGAGAAATGCAGAGTTTAAAGGCCTGATGTTGTTCAAATGGTCCCCCATAACTGTGAATAATATTTGAATCCTTCAATGTAAGTTTTAGTAAAAGTTTCTTGGATGTCATCATATTCTTCTAAAATCACTTGACTTTTATCAAAACACTAGCTGAGTACCCGTACTTCGTACGGGGTTGGTATACAATGCTTATTGTAGTTGAATACTCGTGCTTTGCATTTGCAATAAGAGAGGACACGTTTTGAGAAAATTTGGTTGACTATAATCTACGGTATACTATATTTTTTATTTTTTATTTTATTTTATTTCAACGGACATTAAATTTTGTTTGATGTGGTACTAAAGATACATTGTACAGTTCAAGATGACTAATATTAAATAACAACTGTTCGAACTTTTGATACTTAGACATAGGCAACAAAACAAATAACAATAATATAGTAAATTAACAAAAATAATGTAGTAATTAACAACAATAACTTATAGCAAAAACATAACAAAGACGATCGTATTACATAATAACCATAAATAACAAGGAAAACAGGCATGTTTGGGAGAATAAATATTAGCTTAAATAAGTAGGTATAACAGATTATGACTAGAGCAATTATGAAAAACTTTGTTTAATATTTACAAGGAACATGCAGTTTAATGAATGTGATTTTGCAAAGAAACTAGGAAAAAAACAAGTGTAAATAATGATTATTACCAACAAGGATATTGAAGATACAAAAAAATAAATAAATAAATAAGCTAAGCACTCACGCACTATCTGCCTGTTCAGGCGTGTGGCCCTTTAAAGGCGCCACCTACATCTACCTATCACACCCGTGGTACCAGTTTTATTTAGCCTTAGAGGGGGTTCCTCTGCAATTATCACATAAGTTAAGTTAATCTATGTTTCCGACTAAAAATGGTAGCGCTTTGGCTAACATCCTCGTTCATCGTTTGTAGGCATCTTCATCTTGTAGGCGTTCTTCATTATATAGGCTAATTATGATAATACATTTTTAAGAAAACATCATCTTAACGTATACCTCTTCTACTTGGTGGGGTTATATGAATTGTCTATGTTTCTATAGTTTACAATCGGTTAAGAAATAGCGGAGGAGTTCAAACGACAAATTTTGTGTTGGCGTATTAATTATATAGATAAGTTAGTACCTATCCACTGGAAACTAAAGTATTGATAGACGACAGGTCAGTAGCCTAACCTTATTTATGTACTTACTGAAGTAAGCCTACACATTAGGCCTAGGCCTACTGTCAAAAGACTTATGTTGGATTATTCAACCTGGTAAGTACAACATTTAAAAAGATTACGACATTGGCTGAGTTAGCATCTCAATGAATGGTCATAATGACTCACTGGTGAGCATGCAGGGAGGTGGTAGGGAACTAGGGCATTTACTAGTAACTTATATTTGCCATGCAATGAAAGAAGATTTACGAATAAACTCATTTGGAATTTGTTAGTCTCTTGCCTACCTTAAATGCGATTATCTTGGAGAATTTGTAAAAAATGAATCTAAGTTAGGCTGCAAATAAGTTAGGCCTAGGACCACTTTGTGGTCGTACTTAAGTTAAATTATATTTTAAAAGTTAGGGTTAGGCCCTAGGCCTATCTTAGAAGTTGTAAAATTAACTTATGTGTTTATATAATACTGTCTAGACAGAGCTCAACTTTAACTTAGAGCCTAAGTTATATGGTGAACTCAAGAAGTTGAAAGTGTTGAAATCCATTACAATTTTTCTGATGTGTGAGAATAGGTAGCCTACCCTAGATATCCTAGGCTTAAGATTACAAAAGTAATAAATGTGAAAATGTTTTTGCAAAAACTGCAATTTGCCTGAGGTTAAGGTTAAAATTAGCACACTTAAAAAATTGTTGGACCAGACAAATCTAAGTAGGCCTAGGCTAAATTAAAAATATTGAGACGGGCCTAATCCTGTAACAAGGTTAGGTAACTCACGATTATTCTTGCTGTTAAGTAATCATAAAGTACTTACGGTTTATCTGGTTGAGACTTCCTTTTTTTAGCTTCAAAACTTTTTATTTCTTCTGCCCTTGTTACACTTTTAGCCCTCCTCCTAACATAATTTGGAGTTTCACTAGAAGTCATTTTAAGCTAACCTAGATAAGTACTTCAAAACTAGAAGTTTAGCCGTTTTAGTAATGAAGGGATGCCTTCGGAAAGGCGAACCACAGAATTAATTTTAAAATGGGGGTTTTTAATCAAAATCAAAGGAGAAAACATGAAACACTTTGCCCTTGTAAAATAATAATAGGTTTGAACATGCTTGACTTCTGTTTATCTTATCATTAGACCTTTGGTCTTTTGACACTTATCACCAGGCTGCCAGTGTCACAATTTGAATTTTTAGCCAAACCAAAATGTCCAGGTTATGAAATATCCCACTGGTATATAAGGCATACTACATTGAATGTATAAAAAACATTGATAACAAATACTCATCGCGGCTAAATCCATTCTCCAGCCTTGAAAATATATAGATAGTACACTAAGGTATTCTGATCCATACCAAGAAAATGAAATAGTGTTAAAATGGTGGGAGATTGGTATAATCCTGAATTGGCAAATCTCTTAGATCCTTTATTCTGATTGTGTGTGACTTGTGTAAGACTAGTCCTCATCTGACTAATCATTAAATGAGCTACGCCGCCTTCGGAGGGATCGAGTGCCGAGCGAAGTAAAAGGGGGCAAAGCAGTCCGCTGGTGCAGCTTGGAGGATTAAACATAAGGGAGGAGATCGCACGTGAATAGGAATATTACATGTTGCAGTGAATCCAGCTTTAGCAGAACCAGCAGAACACTAGAGGGACACGCGGAGCCGTAGAGTGGCAAAAAGCCGCCGCTATAACATTGGAAAGATAGGAAAAAACGTGACGCGCGCGGTTTTGAATTAAAATAATGTTTATATCCTCCTAGTTTAGCAGTGGCTATAGCCGAATCTCCAAACCCATGCAAAGCAGCATATGGAACCACATAAATATCTTTAATATGACATCAACATCGTTTGGAGCAAAACAGGTTGCACCTGAATTGTTGACTGAAAGTTTTTGGCACTTAAACTCAAATATTAAATTTCAACCAATTTTTGAAAGTTTCCGTAGCGAAGCACGGGTATACCGCTAGTCATAGATAAAACATGTTTTATCTATGATTACATCTATATGTGTCATGATCATGAACTGATAGCTGTTGGTATAGCTGGGGCATAGATAAAATAACACACTCAAGGGGTGAGTTAAAATCCCGTATATTGTGGATCTTATGGGATAAATACAGAGTACAGTGCTTAATCCCCCAGGATGAGCGTTTTTTGTAGCATAGACTAACCAACCACGGCCACCTTTAACTCCAGGCCGCGGCCTGGTAGAATTGGCATCGTCACAAGTATTTAAGTTATTTAAGTTATTGCGTATGGTATTTAGTTCCATACGTCCAATTTGATAACATGGCAGACAGGTGACATCAGCTCATTAATTTGCACTTTATATATTTTAATTTAAATTTATGAACATAAATGTATTAAATTATTGAAAAATAACATACACAATTGTAAGCCAAAACAATATGAATTTATTGAAAATCTATGATTTAAAGCGGAGTCAATATTTTCATAGTCCAGTAACCAAAGCTTTCGTAAATACACAAATAAATACCATTTAGCTGCTTTAAAACAAAACAGCTGTTACAACCCTACTTGTGACGTTACCACTTTGTAGGCCACGGCCTGGAGTTAAAGGCGGCCTTGAACCAACACAAGGAGGTATGTTTTACGTTAGGTCCGAGTGGTGTTGGAAAAATTGCCCCGAAACACCAGCAGCATTATTGCTAGACACACCACTTAAGTGTTAAGTGTACCATCAATTGAGTGTTTTCTCTGTACCTTATTTCTCTGTGGACTATACCTATTTAAGATGGTGATTCTCGCATTCATTAAAATTTAACTTTTAAATAGCATATAGTTTGACTTTTGGCGATGTTTGAAATTACATACCGGTAGTTAAATTCACATAAGAAGAAATTATATTATATTATTTAGTATTTCATTGTCGGTAACATTACGAAGATACGGGATGCTTGATGTTAAGAGGCTTCTTAACATATAGCATTGACTATACACACGGCCGCCTTTAACTCCTCTACCAACACCAACATTATAAAGTAGAGGTGTATAGTCAATGCTATATGTTAAGAAGCCTCTTAACATCAAGTAGTGTGTTGACTATACACCTCTACATACTTATAATGTGAGTGTTGGTAGAGGTGTATAGTCAATGCATATAGTACTGTATTCATTACTATTTTTTTCGTGTTGCTTCGTTGGTCGGCTGCACTACTTTTTACTAGAATGTAAATCACATAAATCTTTCTTTTGGTATCGTCTGCGGAAGACGTCAGATGGGATTTTGTTATTTGCTTACAAATAAATAAATTTGAAGTAAAATTTAAATTTTAGTGAAAGTGTATTAGGAACGAGATTTAAGAATGAAAATTTGGACTTCTGAACACACATTTAAGTGAGTAGGCCTATTTGTTAAATGGAACTTTACACTTTAATATTTAACCTTGTTGGGTCTCTTCCTATTTCGATGTTGTATCAAGGTTGTGTAACCACTTTTTCAGATTTATATTCTTAAATGAAAGTGTAGACTTTTATATGAGCGTTTAATTTGTCCTATTTCTAAGCAACTTTTTTGGTATAGCCTACATGCTCAACAATCTGTGTACATTTTTATATCATTAGGCCTACAAGTAATCTAACCCAAGTTTTATAAGTTTCTTGTCTCAGTAATGTATTGCAAAAGTACTCAGCTACACTCTTAGCCATTGAGTGAAATTAACTATTGTAATGTGATTGCAATGTGATTCAGTTGTTATTAACTTTATGTTTATAGGCTAACTTTACCTTATTTCAGTCATCCATGGGAGACTGTTGCTCAGGCGGCATGGCGCAAGTACCCAAACCCCATGAACCCAGCTGTCTTGGGGACTGATGTCGTAGAACGTCAAGTAGTCAATGGAGTGCTTCATACCCACAGGCTTGTTAGTTCAAAATGGGGCATCCCTGGATGGGCACAAAGAGTAAGTGTAGGGTAACTGATCAAACACATTTTGAACATTTGAACACTAAGTTATCCATTATCACTCTGTTTAAGATTACCCATCAATAAGATATATTTAAGAAAAGTTTTGAGCCATTGAAATGCGAAGCTAGGCTACTATATTTATGAATACTCAGGCTACCTCCTAAGGTTTTAAATAGAATAATAAATGCATGTCTGCAGTGGCGGTTCCAAGGGGGGGGGCTACGTGGGCTAAAAGCCCCCCCTTGGACCCTGGAAAAAATAATTTGAACATACATTTTATCCTTGAAATGCGCAACATTATAAAATCAGACAGCAATGTAGTTTTTACCAAACTAACTTAAATAACCAATGGCAGGATCAGTATTAAGCTCTACATAGAAAAAACCTTTGTGGGGCAATAGCACGACAAAAAAAAAACAATATTACGCTATGTTATGTTGTACGCATAATCCAATTTTTCCAGCAGTCAGCTGTTGACAAGCTAGGCCGGGGCATAGGCAAACGCCGAGTGCGAAAACGAGGACAGGGAAACAGCTGATTCCATGTCAAAATTGACATGACAGCTGATTCCTAGTCAAATTGTCTGCTAGCTACTGACATTGACAAGCATCAGCGGTATCGCCAGAAGGCCTAGCTTATTATATTATTTGATTGATACTATATCGTGGGTTGTCTAGTGTGACTAGTTTAATGCTGTTGTTGGTTACTTTAAATATTTTATGTAGTGCCGAAAACTCTGACAGATCTCTCTAATGAAAAAACGAGTCTACTTGGTGAAAAGGGAGGTTTTTGGTTAATTTGGACACAGTTCTAGACGTTAAAAATGCCTTTATAAAGTCACCAAAAGGCTTTTAGGAGATATGGCTTTAGTACAGTTTTGAACAGTTTTTAGTAGGCTACAGCTTTAACCCTCCGAGTGTCCATAGTTTAGGCCTTAATGTCCACCTATTTTTGGCCCCTTTGCAAGGTTTTATTAAAACGGATCTGAGAAGCTTAAAACAATGTTAATTCTAATGTTCTATATACCATTTTGTTTGGAAAATCATGGGCTTCAATATTATATATAAAACATAAGGAACATTTTTTCAAAAAAAATTTTTTAGGTAAAAAAAAATATAATTTCGAAAATTTTCAAAAAAAAAATAAGTTCGCGTTCAATGAAATTGTATAAATTATAGGCCTATAAATATTTGAAAATAGCCACTTTGTTCTAAATTTAATGAGGATTACAAATATATAATCATATAGCGAGGTAAGTTATCAAATAAATAAGTTATGAGCGAAAAACGGATTTCAGTACATAGCGTTTAGCTAAGAATGCATAGCCTAACCATAGCTAGGAATCTGGCTGATAATTTACATCAATATCACTACCTACTTCTTCAGGATCATCAAGCACTTCAAAACCACTTAAATCTTCTTATAATGCACCACGTATATCACTACTTTTGATTTTTAACACTAAAACAATGATAAACGTAATAAAACACATCAGTCATCGGTCCGGGGGAACCTAGCTGTTTACAAATACACGCACGTCAGCTGTCTGCTACAATATTTTCGGAACTAAAATGAATAGCGCTTAGAGACAGACCTCTGGAGAAAGCTTAGAATATTACGGAAAGAACGATACCTAACTCGATCCAGTTCAATCCGATTCAGTCAGTCATAGAGCCTTCGCCGTAAACGATGTTTGTGGGTCTTAAACTCGCCGCGTGACCCTACACAAAGTGTGTTGTGCGTCTTAAACTCGACGCGTGACCCTCGGAGGGTTAAGTAATGTTTTTAAATTAAAAAATGCAAGTAGGGAGACAATAGACAAACTCTTTATTGATATATTCCTAGAGAACATTCATGGTACAACTATTACATTCATTTGCAATTACAATTAGAATTTTTTTATTTTTTATAGTAGCTTATTGTTTAAGAATTCATCCTCTGAGTAGAACGGCCATGTTGTCAGGTGCTTCTTGAACAGATTGGGTTGTTCTCTCTTAAGACTTGCACAAGTTCATCATATAGTTTAATTTTTTTAATATCTACTTGCTCATGAAAAATAAGAGGTGAAATTGGAGGGTTTTGAAAAATTGGGCACAATTCTAGACATTAATATATGGCTTAAGAAAGTCACCAAACGGCTTTTAGGAGGATATAGTCGTAGTCTACAGTATGTTCTGATTTTCATGAATGCAATCGTCATAGTTAAATTTTTTAATTGTCTACTTGCTCATAACAAACAACAGGTGAAATGGCAGTTTATGGACAATTGGTCACAGTTTTAGGCGTTAAAAATGGCTTTTTAGAAAGTCACCAAACGGCTTTGAAAATACAAAATTTTTCCGGGGGAGGGCCCCCGTTCCTTTATTGACCCCCTAAGCACCCCGGCAGCCCCCCCATGACAAGGTCCTAGAAACCGCCACTGCAAGTCTGTAAGTTAATAAAACTCCAAACACTGCTAAATACAAAAGGTTAATTTGCTAATGTTTAGGCTATGTTTTAAATAGGCCAATATTGTTTTAAATAAGTGTTTTTCAAGTGTGTGTTTTTCAAGTGGGTTCTGAAATTTTTCTGTTACAATCAAAAATGTCCTAGCAAGTTGTGGGTTTAGAATTCCTAATTATTGGATTTTTTTTTGGGGGGGGGGGAGTTTGAATAAAAGCATCAAACCCATAACATGACATTAAAAACTTTTTGGAACTAATCCAAAATAAATAAACTTCCAGAACTGTGTACATACTTTTCCTCATTTGGCGAAGAATAGAATCACTGAGTGTGCCGGATTATTCACTGCCTACTGTATATTTTAAGTTTCATCTACATAATGTATAAAGTCATGTTATTGTGTTTTGTTCTACAGTCCCTGGTGAGTGGGGTACAACATGCACAGGTTATGATGAAAAACATGTCTCTGTCACTAACTCTCCTAATAGTATTGTTTTCATGGAGTGAAAGATTGAATTGAAACTAAAAACCCACTAACGCTTAAATTTGTTATGTAAACTAACATTTGGCAACCTATTTATTCAAAGATCTCTAAGCCTATAATAAAAGAATCACTTCAGAGATTTCTTTAACCCTTGATAGATATTAATTTGGCCTATTTTGTAAATTATGTTTGAGATTTAAAATATGGTTTCAACATTTTACTTTTGAGCGTAGGTTACTCTTCACGCGTCTCTTTGTTTTTCCTACTCGTGTTGCTCTTTGTTTTTAGCTAATGATAAAGCTACATATTTATAAGTTCACTGGCTATGAGTGCCAGAAATTAATTTATATTTTTTTCAAGTCAGATATCAACAAAAATTTTTCTTTTTTCTCTTGTATAGCTTATATCCTATCTGCATATTTTTCTCTCCATTAGGTCGGCCGCTTAGAGAACGACCTCCTCCAGCATTGGTTTAGCATTAGCGCGCAGGTCGTTTTCTAAGCGGCCAGAAATTAATTTATATTTTTTTCAAGCCAGATATCAACAAAAATTTTTCTTTTTTTCTCTTGTATAGCTTATATCCTATCTGCATATTTTTCTCTCCATTATTATTTTTTCCCCTGTATTCATTGTTGACAAGTGAACCAACGTGATTCCCTTTTACTTTTCCACATACTATCTATTGTCTAACTGGAAATAAACATTTGATTCTTGAAATCCGTTAAGTCACCTTGTCACATCGGGTATTCTTATTGATTTCATCATTACCAGTCATTAGGCTAATGGCTGTCTAGGTTTATAATAAGCAAGGGTTTACAATTTTACTAATTTCTCTTTCTATTTTAGTAGGCCTAATTGAATGTTATCACTTACCAGAATTACTTTGGCTTGTTAAAACAAAGTTAGGTAATTTTAATCTGTTTATTGATATAGGCCTAAACCTGGAAATATTATTAAGTTCTGATATTTATTCCCTCACATAGAAGATAAAAAGAAGATCAAATAGTAGCTTTCACCAAAATACGTGTTGAAAGCATATTATAAGCCTCACCATTTCTATTAAAACATGTTGGTTGTAAAAATAGCTTAATGATTTGTTTTGTTTTGGGTTAGTGGTATGATAGTTATACTAACCTAAATCACTAACTCAAATGCTCTTTTGTAGGCCTACTAGTTTAACAATTACAGTTTAGTAATTTTCTAGGTTTTTCTAGTCACACTTTTAAATTTAAATCCAATCCAATTTATAAATCAGGTGTTGTTAGTATAAAAGGGGCTTGTTGCATCAATAACAGCTGACTATCAGCTGATGAGACTTATCTCATGGCGAGACTGGGCTATGTCCACACCACTCCATATGGACAAAGTCCACAATTGTTGGGCACTCTAGACTTGACAAGTTTTTGATAACTGGTTTGACCTTGTCAGACGATGAGTCATTTGAAGAGTTTTTCACTTGATTGCAAACTTCTTAATCATTTCGTCATATTTGCAATCTCAAAGATAAGCATTGATTGGTGTTGTTGACCTAAACACTATCGGAGAAGTGCATTGTCAATGTGATTATTTTACAGAAATTTTTATTGTTAAATGGTTGGATTACAGATTTGAAAAATATTGATGTTGGGTAGTGTTATTGACTACCTACCTCATATCCAATTGTATTACTATTTTTAATCTTTTATTTTTCCAAATTCAGTTAAAATGAGGCACAAAAGAGATGTTTACTAAGTATTATTTTATGTTGTCCTATAACAATGTATTTTATTGTACAAGTACACCCATTTAGAATAATGAACACATTTTTTACTAACTAGAAGCTATTTAATGAAAATTAAAATTTGGTGTTGTTCCTGAAAAAGATAAAAGATAAAACCAGGTTCAAATTCTGATAGGTAACTTATTTAGTTGGGGTTTACTATAAACATTTTTTTGTTTGCATAAGCTTTTTACTGTTTGATAATTTAAAATCCCCTAAACCCTAACCCTCCTAAAATGACATACCTTTTTATTAATACAGATATTGTCCGTAAGTCTGAATGTAGAAGGATTATTCAATTAAATTCATCATTTTATTATGATAGTTAAACAGGAGCCATTATCTGAAATTATATCAAATCAAATCTTTATTATTATGTAAACACAAAATAGGCTACAGTGTATAGATAATGTCAAAAGAAGGCAGTGCAACATGTGATGCAGATTGTCAACAGATATGAATAATGATGTAACATTTTAATTTAAACCAAATTTGTAGTTTTTACGGTACTATATTTTTACCGGTGAAATTTTAAAATATTTTGATCAATTTGGAAATACATTATAGAAGAAAAACTAGCCTCTATCTGATTTGCGAATGGGATCACTTTAAAGCTACTGAAAGCGAGTGTAACAGTAGCTAGTTAAGGTGATGGCTTTTGTCAAGGCCAGCTGGCCTGTTCACACACATCTCACGTGGCATTGTACTTCAGAGCAGTTTGCCAAAGCTCATCCCAGCCAAAAATATTATCCACCACGGATCCTATTGCAATAAACTCAACCAAAATATTGCAACACATTCGTATTTAAACTGATAGGATTGATGTATCTTATATCCTAAAATATTTTAGAATAAAAATAAATGCTGTGTATTTAAATAATTGGTACAAGGGGACTGTGCCCAAATTGCACATTTCAGGGTTTAAAACTTGTCTGCAAGGCAAAAAAAATACAATTCCTTTCATCTTTCAAAGAGTATGTCCTTTAAGACAGTTAGGTGATTAAAACTACTGATTTAAAATAAATTAAATTTTTTGATTGTAGATCTACATCATAAAGAGAGATATACTCAAATCGTTTGATATGAACCTGATTCATAATTTATGTACCTAGTAAAATTTGAGGGTTGAAGTAGCAAAAAAAGTCAATTTTAAGAATATTCATGAGGAACTTCAGTAATGTAAAAATTCTGATTTAATAACAATAAGGCAGTAATTTTAGTTTATTAGCGAATTTCCCTATAGGGAAGTAGCTATTACTGTAGGTGGCACGGTAAGACCTAGACCCGGGACCGATTTACTTTTTCATTTTGATGTCCCCAGAGGCCAAAAACACCATTCGTTCAAATTTTTATATATGTATATATATATAGACTTATATATATACGTCCGCGAACGCCATAACTTGAGTAATTTTTGTCCCATTTTGATGAAATTTGGTTTAAAGGTGTAAAGCGGGATAAACTTGAATGAGTTCGCGAACCAGCACGATCGGACCATGGGAACGGGGCTTTAAAGGGGGTTTTATGGGGTAAAAATTGGTTTTTCTCACTTTTGACCCTCAAAACACAAAATTTCCTGATTTCTCTTTAGACCTTTTTAAAGAGCTTAAAAAACAAATAATTTAGTATATAAAAGAATTTTTGTTCGATTATTAGTAACGGAGAAAATTAAAAAATTGTAAATTTAAAATTCCCATGTTATTCTTATTGAGAATATTGTCAAATGTTGTAGTTTGCTTGTTTATGGATATATTTTGATCAAACTTGGCAAATTTATTTATTTTGTACTAAGCTATCAATATTTTACTCAAAAACACACTTTATTAGTTTCCTTGTAGCAGCAAACCTAGGTAGTCGTTAAACCTAATGTTATTAAAATATATTTAACTGAAAATCAATTCAGACAAATGGAAATTTGCTTAGTCGGCAGGTTTGCTGCGGCAGGGGTATTTTTTAATAGTAATCAAATTAATAATTTTGTATAAACTTTAAGCAATTACTAAACAAAAGTTAGTTGTCTCCCAGCTTCAATAGTTAGGAGGTGGAATATTATATAATAATTTTGCTAGCTCTTTGTAAACAACACTATTCTTCCTTATGCATGTGTATATTTAGTTGCCCGTGTAATGAATACAGCACTTGTTTGCTCAAAACATTCTTCCTTATCTTCGTCACGGGTTATTACAATATTTACAGCCGGGCTTTTACCTTGAAATTGTGTTCAAGAGCAAATAAGCCTTGTAAAGTAAACAATTTTTTTTTATATTAACTTTCCTCTCCCTCACGTGTCCCGAGGAGATTTCATAAAAAAAATTAAAAATTTGCATTAACCACCTCTGATTTATGAGTTGCTTTTTGCCTTTACTGAGCAAAGACGAAACTATGATCTTAGGTCATCTGTTACGAACAAGTTTAGAACCCTGTAGGTGGAAGTGGTGCTTTAGCTTTGTGGTTACTTTAGCAACTACTCCAGTATGCAGTTTTGCATACATATATCGTAGTAGGAAGTAATCTTTTAGCATCATGTTGATAGCTCATAATGGCTTTCAATTATATTTATTTTTCTTAGCACCCTGAGAAGTGTTAGTGACCATCAATTGATGTATTTGTTGATTATTGATTATTCGTGGATTGCTTTCAGCTTGTTGGACCATCAAACATTTGTTATGCCAGTGAACAATCCGAAGTAAACCCAACTAAACGACACATGGAGCTAAAAACTAGAAACGTGAGTTTTATAATAACTTGTTAGTGTAACTATATAAGGTTAATTAGGTAGGGCAGCAAGTATTCAAATACTGTACCGTAACTCACAGAGGGTATATAACTATCTTATCAAGCTAACTAAAGACTGGACAATTGACTAATAAGTTACTTTAATCTGAAATGGCGACCATACGAATGTAGGTTATTAATAGCTACCTACCTAAAAAAAAAGTTTTTGTGTGAATATTATTTTGCAATTAGTGCAGATTGTACAATGTTTTACAGATGGGCTGTGGGAACCAACATTTGGTGGTCATGAACATTTGGTCAAAATTCATGAAATGTAAAGATTATTTCCTTTAAAAACATTAAGTTATCCAACCGTTGTTCTATAAGTTTTCATTCTTGATTTCTGCAAACATTGGCCTCCAAAAGGAATTAAAAATTAACCGTATGTCCTTCTCACTGACGTACAAAAGGTCAAGATTCTTCATTTAATACTATTACAGCAGATAGTGCATTGTGTTTTTTAGGCAAAAATTTATAAACAAGTTTACAATTCTTTATCGGGTAGTTTTTTTTGTTTAAAATATAAAAAAATCATGTCATATTTCAATTACAAATTGATTGTATATTTGACTTATTCTGGATCAGGTGTTAAATGTATTTAACCTGTGAATATCGTGTAGGAAAACACTATTGATATGGAGGGACTTTGTTACTAAATTGGACATATTTCAGCTGACGTTCGGAAGCTTTATCGCAGTAGACGAGACTCTTAGCTACCAACCACATCCCGAGGACAAGACTAAAACTCTGCTGAAACAAGAGGCTGTGGTTACAGTGCAGGGGATCCCCCTCAACAGCTACATGGAGGACATCCTTACTAAGACCATCATGCTGAATGCTAACAAGGTTAGTCAAGGTCTGAGTAAAAAAATAACTGTCCGACACACAACTAATTACACTCCTTGTTAACTATTGAGCATAACACTAACACTACCCCTCTAATTCGTCCCCTACTGGACCCAAACCTTGGCCGGAACAGTGAATAGGTCGGAATATCTGAGGTGCAGCATGTTCAGGATTATGCTGCAATCCTGGGAGATGATCATGATGTTTACATTACTGCACTAGATATTTAAAATATTGCCATGATCACAGATAATAACACGATAAAGGTTATGTCATCCTAGGGAGAAGATTAAGAATTCCCCACAAGTATGGGAGGTGTTCAATATTTTTACGCGATCGCCAAAGACGATGATGAATTTTTCCATGACCGTGGGATTTGTAACGGATTTTCCGCGATCGTGGAAGAGGATGATTAAGTTTCTGTGCCTGTGGGAGTTGTTTCATATTTTGCCTTATTCGTAGTAGGCTAGATGATAATTTTTTTCTGTTACCGAAGGAGATGTCCTAGATTCGGGCACGATTGCGGGGCATGGCGAAAATGTTTCTGCAATTGTTAAAAAAGATGGTGATGTTCTCAAGACCGTGGGGTATTTAAACAACATTTTTGCTGTGATTGCAAGAGATAGTGTTGACTACTTGACCAAGGGAAATGGTCGCTATATTATTGTGAGGGCATTGTCACCGATAGGCGAGGCACAGTCAGATCAAGTGAAGAGTCGTACTAGCCGTTGTTGGATTAGGCCTCTAGTGAGGTTCAACTGTACTGTGGAATCACATACTATTTCGCTGAGGTGTTACTACACCATAGTTGGGTTGAGACAACCACTTTTGCCGCTTCTGATTGTACTCTGAAAATACACTCTAGGCTTTAGGGAGACCTGCATTTGACTGTACTTTCTTATTTGTTTAGCGGTAGGCATACTTCATCGTTTGTGAAGTCCTCACATGTACTGTGCACATTTCTTTGCTACCTCTTGTGTTAATTATTATAATCACTAATAGTGATGGTATGATCGGAAACCTTTAGCTCAGTGGACAAGTATCGCTTCATCTTATTAGTACATATACAGTAGTGGAGTTTTTACTTTAGCAATACTCACATTAAGCTGTAGACCAAAAAAATCAAAGTTAGGAGAACAGTAAAGTTCATACGGAGGAGAACCCCTGCACCTTAAAATCTATTAGATATATTCAAAGAGGTTGACATTTTGTTCTGCTGAAAGAAACTGTGACCTCTCTGAGTTTGTTTCCCTTCCACTTGGTGAAAATCCTTCTTTACTTCAAATTTAGAATTAACACTAATGCCGAAACCCTACTCCGGCTGAAGTTAACCGAAACCCCCGGTCTGTGAGACCCCATTTGAAAAATAATACCCGCTTAGAAACACACAAACCGAAACCCTCGGCCTGTGAGACCCCGCTTTAAAATACACTAACACAGGGCTTCTGAGACGGTCATTTTGTGAACAGGCAACCTGTCAAGGTCACGGCACCCATGCAAAATGAACAAACAATAAATCAATAGGTAGGGGAGGAAAAGGGGGGAAGGTATTGGGGGAATGGAATCTCCCAAGTAAACAGTGTTGCCAACATGCGTTTTCAAAAATTCCCGTGGGCCTGTCAGACCGGGGTTTTGGTATCAGTGTTAAGTTCCCTCCCAATCCATGTGTCGATTTCTTAGGACAAGTCAATTGTAAGAAATGTTATATATTCTCTATTTTTCTAATACTTTATAATTGCAATACTCTTACCATGTTGAAGATTTGAGTCTTTGCCAAACTTAGTTTACACGCTATTCCCAAAACTCAGTACATGATTGATTCGCTTGCCAAGTATGTTTCCTTTTGGTTACAATTTCAATTATATATCCTCTATTTTAAACTGTCTTCTCTCATTATGAAATGGCCTCTGGATCGTCTGAATGAACTATTATAGGTTTAGATTGCCTGTTTGCTGGCAAAACTATCCTTGGTAGTACATTGACTTTTGTGTTTTTTAAAAAAGAAGCACATCTTCAGGTCACAAATGTCTTGTAAATGATCTGTCATGTGGAGCTTGTTAAAGAAATTAATTGAAAAATACATTAAACGATTATAACACACAGGACAATACATTTAAAGAACTGGTCAACCAGATGCTGATTGGGTACGAGACACGGTGTCATGGAAGGTAAGACATTCGTGACCTGAAGATTTGTTTTTTTTAAACCTATATTATATTAGTAAACTATCTTAATATTTTTTCTTGTAACACGTTTTCTCTAAAAAGTTGTGAGTTTTTTAAGCTTAATAGTTAATAGTGTCAAGTCATAAAACTATACACATAATTTTGTACTTGTGTTTTTTTTAGTAACATAACCTCAGCCTACACTTCCTAAAGTTGGCAATAAATTTCAGTCAATTGTATTTGAATTCCAAATATAAGTGATTCCAACTTGTCTGATGTATGATTGCAAAAATTTTTAAATATTTTAAATATTTTTAGCATATACACTCAGTAAATCGGCATTAAATATTAAAAGGCAGGCTTCTGAATGGAAGTACAATACCGAACCTTGGAATCTAAAATATGACAGACTGTTAGTTTAGTTCACAATCCAGTTGAATTTTAAACCGTCTCAAATATGAATTGCAGCAATTTAATAAAATGTTGGCCAGAATTCACGCCAATTCAATGATGCATGTCCCTATCGAAGACCAAGATTTGACATAGTAGAATATTTTCTCCTGATTGTACAGGGCCGGCAAGCTATTGAGTGGGTGATCGGCATCATTGACAAGGAGGTCACTGACCTGAAGCTGAGCGCAGCTAAGAGCACTGACGAGCTGAAGAAGTCACTGGAGAGTGCACGCAGATCTATGGACGAGTTCTCTACCTCCGCCAAGAAAACTCTGGACGACATCCACAACCTTACCAGCAGCACCAATATACCCGAGTTTTAGCATAATTTTATCCCCCGATTTTTCAATCTCGACACATTCAAGAAATTTTTAATTGTGATACATCTAAGTCATCTTTCAGTATTGATTCTGATGTTAGTTTTTCGACGTTTCTAATCCTTAGTATTCTATTCGCTGTTGATTTGTTAGAATAAAGTTATTTATTACCCCCGCTTCTTGATTCACAGCTCGCGTTACGAACATTATCCGTAGAGTAGATGCAGATGTGGCGGCGACGCACTGCTTGAATGTTTCCTTTGTAAGGAGAATCGAAGGTGTTTTCAGCTTGTCCGTTGGGATGAGGGATTGCCTTAGAATGTGGTGAGGAGTTATATTTTTGTGAACCCAAGTTCTATTGGGAGAAACGCTTTGAATGGTTGTCTGGGTGAACCAAAGATTTGAACCTGTTGTTGGTTATTGTTTTAAGTGCGGATAACTCCCTCTTGTTCGCTTGGTTGAGTCGTTAGATGTTTGGTGTGGTTTATAAATCATGCACTTAACACACACCTGTGTCTGTATCCATGTGTAAACACAATTACCATACATGTTTTTCGTGCATCATGAGTAAATACAGACTTGCAATATTCCAATGTTTACTAATTTTGGCCAATGATGTGTTGCTAAAAATATAGCCATTCCAAACAGTTTCAATTAATTATTTTATGGTTTAGAAGGTTTTTAGTTCAGTCAAGAGTCTAGCTTGAGGTTTTTGAACGAGAGGGAGTTGATTGTAAATGCAGATAATTTAAAATTGCATATATCAGTGTGAAAGATATCTCAGGTTTCCTATTACAAATTTAAACTAGTGATATCTAAAACCTTTTTGTGAAAAAAAGCTATACTTAAAAACAAAGAGGAATGGTATCATTGTTATTGTATGTTAAAATTTTTACATTGTTGTAAAAAAATAATTAAGTTTAAATAATTTTAGTTTTGCCCTTACAGCAAATTAAAAATGTGTTTATATATATGCAAACAAAAATCACTGGCTGTTGTACCGATAAGTGTTTGATAATATTAGTCTGCTTGAAATATTTTTGCAATTCAGGTCAAATTTAATGTGACATCACTGCTCACATTTTCACTTATAAAATTAGTAACTCTATTTTAACAATATAGTTTGTTATAACCGTATCTGATACTAGGCGATCTGTAGTTTTAAGACCTTTACATTCCTGTTATAACTCTTAAGATGCAATAAAGAAATTGATTTTGTTTGTTTCCACCGACGAGATGTTACTGTTATGATATTATGTATTTATTTTTTTGTGCTTGTTCTTGTCATTATTTTGCTTCTAGTATTGCTTTTAGTGAAGTAACTAATTCGTGTCTAATTAATCATTAAAATTTAATATTTAATACAACATAATATTACACCAGAGACTATTTTAATGTTAATTTTTGATGAAGAGATTTAAAAAGTAATCAAACTTTTAACTAGCTAGGATATAAATAAATAATTGTAGATATGTGAAATTCAAAAAGATTAAGTTAAGTCTTAGATATTTTTAGTTTTAAGTTTTGGTTAACTTGGAAGGGGCTTTCTGTAAATTGATTCATCGAAGATAAGTGAACGTAATACTTTTAAAAACAACAGTGATGTTTTTAAAACAGCCAAAACCTACACTTAAAACCATACCATAATATTTTTAAATAATTCTTTCAGTGAAATATAATAACTAGTCAATCAAAGGGAAGGTCTGGAAAATTTAAAAATTCTGATGACAATTTATGGTTAGCCCTTTATTAATTACAGAAACTCAGTTTTTAGTGATGAATGACAGTAACACTAAAAGAGACTATAAGCATACTGAATTGGTTTTTGTGCCATTTTTTGTCAATAAATTACACTTATTAGTTTCCTCATCATGGAGTAATTTATTTCCTTCATTTTATACTCAAAGGTGTACATAGTTGTGAGATACATGAAGACCCCTGATATGTATCATTGAGACATTGTCTGACTCACAGCCTATATTTTTAATTGTAGATTAAGGAGAATTGCAGCTATCTTACCTCGGAGAAGTGCAGGTAGGCTATAGAACAGAAGAGACACTGAACACACAAAATTTTGTCCCCTGAGGGACTTTGTCAAAGTAGAGAAAGTTCTTCACAAAGTCGCTCAGGGGATGAAATATTTTATGTTAATTGTCTCTTTAGTATGTTCTATGGCCTACCTGCACTTCTTCAAGGCAAGCTAGATCCTCCTTATTCTAAAATTCAAAATCCTTGGCTAGGGCCTTTCCTTGAACCAATCCCACAGCCTATATTGTTTTCCATTTAGTGTGAGTTTAGTGTTAATTGGAAACCTATCTACATCCACACTTCCTACAAAATTCAGTTCAGTTGTAGCTTTGAATGATTGAAGAGGAAATCAACCCTCTTTTAAAATGTGAATTGAACCCTACGGTTGAATTTCTGTCAACGTCTAGTGAAATTCATTACCAGCTGACGGTTTTGTATGGGTGTAAAAAAGTGGTTTAAGGTGTTTTGAGAAGATCAGCTACATTTTTAAGAGGAGGTTGCCCATAGGTAGGTCACTATTCAGTGTGTGATGAAATAGTGACAAAAGTTGCAGGAATATTGCTTGCAGTTTTGAATTGAGGTGCGGCTTATCTCAACAGAACATACTCAATGGGGGTGTAGACTTTTCCTTTTATCGTTAGCGGCATCTAACACAAGACAAGACACTTGACTATTGCATACAAGTTGAGATTGATTGGAATAATCATGATGGAAGTAGAGAACCCAGTAGTCAGATTTGAACTATCTCGCCCCCCTCCACTTAGGATCAACCTTTTTATGGTAAAAAGTTATTATTTTCTGCTATTTGAAGTTTTATGAAAAAAACAAAGGTTATAAATGAAAATATTTGTTACTTTGAACCAATTTAATTTAAGAGAAAGTAGAAAATGTTTACATGAATTATACGTTTTGCAACCCTGAAAACTTTACTTAAAAATCACGCACCTTCAGCTGCTACATCAAGTTTCTTGAAGAACCAGTGGAAAATTCCGAGAATTGTGAAAGACATGCCAAGTGGGAAAATAGACGCTTTAGCCCAAGCCATCAAACTGAAAAATAAATTTATTAAACCTTAAAATCATCAGGATTTTTGATATAACAGAATAACCTAGTTTAACACTATACCATTGACTATTGAAATTGATAGAACTAGAAATTTAATTCCTTTGTTAAATTGGTCACTAACTTATGAATAAAAATGAACTTAAGTTGAATTGAGCACCAACAGAATGTGCTGATCTAAATTACTAATTTCTGTTAAATCCTCCAAATTTTTAGTCAAAACTCGTAGAACGATTTGTACGTTGTAAGAAGCTATAGCGTCTTTAATGTCACATATACCATTTCCGTAACAAAACCTAAAGAAGTAAATCCAGTTTTAGACTGTAGTGCACTCTATGAGGGGCTTATTCATTTACATTTTTTAAAACAAAATTTATGACAGCCGGTCTATAAAGGTGGAATGTCTACTTTAACATGCCAAGTTAATGGTTATACTAAAGTGGTTTAGAACCATTAGGGTAGCGTTCTTGAAACTCCACTATTTGAATTTGGAAAACAAAATTACTGAAAATATAATTCGCTCTAGGAACTAGGAAAAAAATATTTACTCATTGGCATCATCGTAGACGTAGAACGGCTCTGAAAGTGGAAGAAGACCACTTTCTACAATGTAGACATTTTTCACCGGGCGATCATCTTCATATGTTTTCAATCCCTCTATTTTATGTATGATATCCATTCCTTCCGTTACCTATAAAAATATCCAAGAATATAAAATTCTCAATAAAGTAGGTGTGAACTATAGCAATAAATATGGAAGACCGCCCACAGAACTTAACATGAACACTAAGTCAATTTCCAGTATCGGTTGTAGCAATGCACCTAGAAGAAGTTTTTAGCCCTGTCCAGGATTTTTAGTTACCTTGTTTTAAAGAAATGTTTAACTAAGTATATTTTTCTTATATTTTGTTGATCAAACATAAAAAATATAGTCCCCTAGTTAAAGTTTTAAATCCCTTTTTTGATACTGTTAAGTACAAAGATAGGGTTTTCTGTCTTCTTATTTGTTTACTGACCATGTTTTTTGTTAAAACTGATTACAGTACAACTTAATAAATGATACATATTTTAATGAGGCTCATTGTGCTGTGCAAGTACTAATAGTCCTCTATAACGATACTATTTCTTAAATGGTTTGAGTAAAAAAATCCTTGCCTTTTTCTCATTTTATTTTTCAAACATTTACATAAATGCGAAACAATAAAAAAGTGTTATATTATGCATGTTACAATACACAAAAATGTAACATACTAATACAGTATAGTAGTTGATTTCTAACAAGGAATGATGAAACTTGTTTATTTACTTACTCTGAGAGTTAGGTAATCTACAATCAATAATGTGTAAACCCTTACAAGTGCAAGCCAGCATTGTAACAGGAATGTATTTGTTTCATTTTTGCTGAACCACATTTAAACAAAAAATGCCACTTACCAATTCATTAATGATAATCTTCCATTACTTAACAAATTGTTAGCAGTTCTGATTTAATAATTTTAAGGCGTAACTCAGTAAGTTATTTACAATCCTAATTCAATCAAATTCCTTCCGCATTTAATTAAAAGATATGAGATTAATGGAAGATTCAGAAATCTGTGGAATTGATGGAAAGTTTCAAAATTATTTTGTATAAAATGTTTATTGTCTTTAAAACGTGTGATAAACAGTCTGAAGACTCTCTTTTTGATAAAATGGAGGAAAAGTTGTATGATGAAGAAAAGGGAAAAGCAAAGGTTTGATGGAGATATAGGAGGTTTAAGAAGTTAGTGGCATGTTTCAAAATCATGTGTATTCTTTTTTTTCTTACAAGCTTCGGCTCGTGTATGGAACGTATCCAGCAAATCTACCACATCTCTGCCATGGATTCAAAGTACGTCATACCGCCAACTTATCTGATTTTTCGACTTTTATGTAGGTGCTATGAACTATTTTTTGGTCATATTCCATCACTCTTGAAGCTAATAACTAATTCATACACACAAATTGTTTCATTGTTTACATTTGTAAATTAGCTCCCAAAATATCTTCCATCTAAGTTTTGCTATTAAACAAACAGCTGTTACCGATGTATCTGCCCTTCAGTATTTGGTATGTTTTGAATGTGTTTGGATGGAGTTAACTGTGAATTGTTGGGTATTGAAAATGGTTTTTAAATTATGATAAATTTCGTTACCCTTCCGAACACTACATGCTTGCCATCCAGCCATGGTGTTGGTTGAGTGATTATGAAAAACTGGCAGCCATTTGAGTTTGGACCTGTGTACAAATAGATTATAAAAAAGAATATAAAAGAAATGTAGAAGCAGATAAACTAAACAAACGACCAAACTTGGTAGGCACATTACAGTACTTTAAAACAGACATTTGGAGTTGGCTCAAGAAAATGAAAATTTGTTTAGTATGCAGGTTTGCTGAAACCAGGATCTACTGTATTTCTGTATTCTAACACTATCGAGATGAAACCTCTACTACCATTTTATTAAGTATTTAGATTGTTGCAAAAACCCTTGTGCGAGATAAAGGAGAAACTAATAACGATTTTTTTTCTGATTCACATCTATATAAATGATATCAAGATAGTATTGTTCAATTTAATTAATATGAACCTGAATTACCTGAAATTAATTCCTGAAATTAGCTCACCTGAATTAGCCATGCTTACAAAGCCTGCGGCTGTATGTTTCACAACAAAGTTTTCATCTTTGAAGTGTTTTCCAAAAATACTCACAATCCCAAGACCGTCTCCGGACACTACGTCACCTCCTGAAAAACAAAATCAATGAAATACTTTTGTCTCACCACAGGTGCATCCTGTCAGTTGAAAATGGAGGCTACTTTCAATTAATTGCATGGAGTGATACAGCCATAACCTTTAACTGGGAGTATGAAATCATCCCCAGGGAATAATACAATAGCTAGGGTAAAATTAAAGCCTAAAAAATTGAGTAAAAATGCTTACTTCTTCGTTTTTGATTTTTTTTTGCAGCCCTGACAGCCGTCTAACAAGGCTGTTGACTTTTGAGTTTTCGATGCTTTAACTATCTGAACACGTTATAAAAGTAATAATTACCATACCTTGAACCATGAAGTTCCTGATGACTCTATGAAATGGAGTGTTGTTCCCATACTTCCGCCCTTTGACTCCATCTGAAGCAAGGGCTTTGAAGTTTTTGACGGTTTTTGGTACAACCTCTCCAAAAAGCGCAATCACTATTCTACCCTCCACTTGGCCTCCGATGCTGACGTCGAAATACACCAGATCTGTCACCTTGTACTTCTCCGTCTGGAAATTGATTTAAATGAGATTAGATGTTTGGCTAGAGGTTAAGAAATGTCATTGATTTAATATAGTGAAGTAGATATATCATCAATGGGGCTGATGACGCTGATGTAGCCAGTTTTAATAAAACTAGAGGTCGTCCAGTGGTCGAAAACTCGACCAAAAATATGTAACGTACAGACTTCTCTATTTTCACCTCATGCTGTAAATAAAACATGTGATTGGAATTTCTTTAATCTGCTTTGATTTCCTGTTTATATTTCTTTGTTATTTCGTCACCATCATGGCAACCCATAAGACCCATGTAATTTTTTTTGAAATTTCAAATTAATTTTTTGTGCTTATTTTTGAGCTCATTTTAATTGATAAAGGGATTCTGCACCTCTACAGGAAAATATCTTTCAAAGAGTAAGTATATGCATAGATTTTCCCTGCAATGCACACAAGTTGAGAAAAAAGGTTTTAAAGAAACATGCTTGCCTATCAATTCACCAGGTAC